ACTATCTACATATGTCCATATTCTATATCTATCGAAGTGTAATCACGAAACCCTAAGCACTATATGATGTATATGATCTTTTATGAATCAAGCCTAAAAGCAAAGCTCTATCAATGATGGGAGATGTATGAGAGATGTATGGGAAAAAAAAAAGAAAAAAAAAAAAAGATATATGATCTGTATGATCTGGGCGTCCAGTCCAGTAGCCAATATGCATTATCATATGAGACTGTCAGGGGGCGTTGATTACTTCCCTGCGCAGGGAAGGATTGACCCCCTGCTAATTAATCCCTGAACATCCCACCACCACCCAACAAGACGATCAGCCCCCCGTTGATGATTGGTATTGCAGGCCGGGCAACATCAATCACCCCCACCTATCCTACTCCTATCCTCCTCCAAACCACGAGGAGGAACTCCGTATGAAGGTTGGAGAGAGGGAAAGCAGTAAACCACTTCTCTGTATCAACCCCATATCCCACCACGTCCACTTGCAGCATCCCTCCCGTCGCGGTGATGATAATCTCATATGTCCGGATGTCATTTCCTACCCCACTGCGCCCTTGGTCGTGGCCGCCGTCGTCGTCGTCGTCCTTGTTATTGTCGTTGTTGTTGTTGTTGTTGTTGTTGTTGTTGTTGTTGTTGTTGTTGACGTTGTTGTCGTCGTTGTCCCTATCGTTGAGGGGGGGAGGAGATGACAAACCCCTTTTCCGTTCCAACCCCAATCTCCCCTTCATCCGCTTGCGGCATCTCCCCCATCATGTCGCTGATGATCGCAACTGCCCGGACACAGCTGTCAGCCCCTCTGCGTCCATAGTTGTCACTGTCGTCGTCGTCGTCGTTGCTGTTGATATTATCGTTGTTGTTGTCGTTGTTGTTGTTTTTGTTGTTGATGATGTTTTCGCCGCTGTTGTTGTTGTTAGTGTTCTCGCCGCTGTTATCATTGTTGCTGTTGTTGTTGTCGCACCCATCCATTGCTGTTGTTGTTAATCTTGATGTTACCGCTGTTACCTCGTGCGCGTCCTCATGATCAATAATGCCCGCCAACCGGTCTTCCAGAAGATCATGCAGATCGCGACCCTCATTGAAGAGGGTTTTGCAAACTGACATGATGCCATCTGCCCTCCTCCAATCAATGCAGACATCAAGCCGAGGATCCGGCCCCTCCTCCAACTCCCAGATGATCGCCAGCATGTCCTCACTTTTGTCCTTCATCCAACCAGCCAGAGTGATCGCTCCCCCTTCGACCTCTGGCTCCATTTGCAGCCGCAAAGACATGTCCCTCACAATCTCCTGTAGCCATCTGCGTCCGTTCTCCAAGGTAATCAGCCATTCGTTTGCTCCAATATGTAGCTCCCTCTCCAAATTCTCCTCCATGGTAGTCATGGCTCGCGCACAGAACCGCGCCACTTTTGTGTAGTAATCCTCCAATCAATCACAGCTGGCGCTTCTCCTGTTCACGCGTCGCGGGGCGTCCACGTCACCAAACGACAGGTGACACGTGGCAAGCTGAACACCACGGCCACGTGTCGGGCGCGTGAACAGGCCCAGCGGCCTGGAGGGGCTCACCTCTCCAGCATGCTGGTCAAGCCGGGTGCGGCCGGGCCTTGCCGGTCGGCCGGCGTTAGGGCGTTAGCGCTAGCGTACTCCTACCTCAGGATCATCACCCTCCAGCCACCAACATCTTAGGAAGATCACTGCGCCCAGTCGACTCCCCCAGGGGATCAGAGATCTGCTGCCCAGGCCACCCGGGCATGTAAGAAGTCCAGGATGCTTTCTTTTTTTTCAGTTTCTTTGTGTCGGTGTGGCGTTTCTGTGCTCAATTAGAGAAGCGCAAATCCGAGCTCTTTTCTGTTTTACAGTGCTGTCTGTTGGGTCGGGGGGAAGAAGGGGGTATAAATGGGGTTTAAACTTTGAAGGGGCTTAAAGGGGTTTAAAGGGGGGTGCCTTAGTTTGATTTTCCTCTTTTTTTCCCTTTTTCATATTCGAT